ACACACACACACACACACACACACACACACACACACACACACACGAAGAATATCCTTTTGCCCTGATTATATTGTTCACTTTCTCATAATCTAGGCAGCTCCTGCCTTGGTCAGCTTAACCTCTGCAAGTCACAGGATAGAATATGTGAACAAAGTCAAAGGCAAATTTTGTTCAGTTTTCTTTCGGCTACAGTTGTTTTCTATGCTTTTAAAATACCAACTACTAAATGATAATGAAGTAAGGTGCAAGAACTAAAATAGTTTAAAGAAGGAGGTAAAAATGTTGCAAACAGGACAATAATATCAAGGACAAGTAAGCAAGCTAGGATGAAGAGTCAGAGATGTTACTGGAATCAAACCTGGGGATGCAGAATCCTGGGAAAGAGAAAGTAGAAAATCTGTAAGGCCAGAAGAAATTCGTTGAAACCCCTTGTCAAACTGGCAGTTGACCTAATCAGACTCAGGGCATGCAAAGAAACTAAGAAGCAAAAAGAATGGTAGAAAACAAGGATGAATCATGAGTAACTGATTCTGATACTGAAAGTGTTTGCTATCCAACTAGAAAAGTTTTCTTTTGATTTCCACCTGGAGTGGGTAGTTCCAAGAAGAAGGATGTGAGTGAGAGGCTCTTCTTGATCAGGGTCATCAAAAGCAGCTGCCTGCCAGCCAGCTTGTTTTCAATCAGTCTTATTTCTCTGGTGGAGGAATTCCTTTTAGCATGCCAAATGTTCCTGATGAGATTTCTACTCTCTTCAGGCTGCCACCAAGCTTAACCGGTGGAGTTCTATGTTGTTTTCAAAGCCAAATTGTCCCTGGGTAACTGAAGTTCTTTTACAGATTGCCTAACATAGGGGCATGAAAATGGAAGAAGGGTCAGGATTAAGAGTAGAAGAAATTACACAGTCAAGGGAGAAAGAGACAATCTGGAAGACTTAGGCTCATGAACCACCTTATCAAAGTATCTCTTGCTGCTTGTAGCTCTATAAATCAGTAACTACTTGGGTATCATTCTTGTGCTAAGCTTTCTAGTTGAACACTACTGTCATATGCGTACTCTATTACATGACTTCACACTTAATTGGATGTTACATGCTCGTTTTTATTCTCCTTGAGAGAAAAATTACAGTTCGTTAAGTGAGAGCTTTTTTTCAGCCTCGGGAAGCTACAGACTTTCCTCAATCTGTATTTCCCCATTTGACATATATATATGAAAGACAACTGAGAAAATATCGATTGATAAAGTGTTGCAAAGTGACATTTGTTCAAGACTTAAAATGTATCAGGGGCTATATAGAGCAGAGAGATAGATGTAGTCCCTGCAGGCTTAACTTGTGAGCATCAGTGTTAGCTGAGGAGAGCTAATTTACTATTTTCCAAGAGGAAATGGACTTGAGAAGAATGATTACAGCAGGCAGAAATAATTCAGTATAAATAGAGAGTATAACAATTTTTTAAAATTAATTCTTTGTGTGTTTGAAGTACTTTTGTAAACCCATCAATCATTTGGTGACATTTTGCAGTGTATCAGGATTTTGGTATTTGTAAAACATCATTTTAAAATTGCCTCAAACTAGGTTTTGTGTTTTCTCCCCCCCCCCCCGTTTTCTTTGGTCACATTCACTCCCATTTGGGTCCAAGTTTGTAGTGCATGAGTGACTAGTCTATGGGCTACAACTTTTGACTACAAGCTATGGAGTTAGATGTATGTTACAGAATAAGAGAAATCTAGTGTAAAAGAAAGGAAGAAAGTCTCAAAGAATCTCAGGATAGGAAACTAAGCTGACTCCCAGGGATACTTTGTGACTGGATCCTGGAAAGCCTTCACACGTCTCTGCTTTCTGAGTGAGACTTCTTCATGCTCATCACCCTCTCTTTAATTTTGAATGAGTTTTCTTAAATATGGAGGCTTCCCCATGAGTTCAAAGTTGGCATTTACTATTTTAACTCTGTTTGCTAGTACTCCTGCTTTCCATATCTGAGCAGTCCCTGCATTCATCACACATGGTATAAACATGGATGGTGGTGAGTCAGCCCATAGATTTGAGGGCACAGAGACAGATACTAGAAAACAGAAAGGGCTTGGAGGATGTGGGGTTGCACTGTGGTCTCAAAGGTGGTGCTTCTCTGGTGGTTCAAATTCATCAGCAGTTTCATGGGCAAAAGATTGAGAGTCTCCTTTCATATGATTTGTAGCTTCCAAAAACCTGCTGGAGGGCCAATTTTGGATTCTTTCAAAGCAGCTGATAGGGATTGAGTTTTGAACATTTGTCCTAAGAAATGTGTTGACTAAATTCACTGACAAATAAGAAAGCGTGTTTAACTAGATGAATGAAGAAGGGATTTTTGCCTTGTGAACATTTACAAGAATGGGTTATTAACAGGTTTATCAACAGCCAACTTCTGTTTGAGGTTACCGTTAGTTAAAAATTATCTTATATTCAGATTGTTTTTTTCTGTGCCTTTGTCAAATTAAAGAAATAATTCTACAATGAGAAACATTTGAATGATTTCATAATACATGTGATTTATAAAGTTTAACAGTGTTTTTTCTCTCTTATTTATTCATTTACTTGGTGAAGACTAAGCCTGGAGTAATTCGCCCAGTACCTGTGAAATCCAAAATATTCCTGAAAAAAGAAGAAGCATATGAACCTAACCCTTTCAGTAAATACTTAGAAGATGACAGTGACCTTTTTTCTGATCAGGTGAGCATATACATGAGAAAATATTTGATGTTTTGATATGCAAGTATGTAAACTATGGCTAAGATGCAATATAGTATGTATAAGGGAAATGCCCATTTGCTTGTACCTTTGGTAATAAAAGGATTTAATTTTATCCCCCCCTACAATATGAAGGACTTCTTACACATTCTCACTCACTGTAGTATTTTAGAGCATATCAACAACTTCTTTCCGTAAATTTTCCCTACCTTATATTGATCTTGTTTTAGGAACATCAAATTTTTTCTCTATAAACATCTATGATATTATTACTTAGATGGCCACATAGATACTCTATTTTTATTTGTGAAGTCCTGGTTCTTTTAGAAGACATATAACATTTGGATTTTGGTATATTAGTCTCATATGACAAAAGTCTTTCGCATATTAACATTGTCAATACAGTAAAATCTCTGAGATAGAACAATACTAGGTAAGAAACAGGAGTTCAAGTCATGGTAAGCCTTGCTGTTTATGTTTTCTTAGATGTAAAAAAGTACATTATCTTTATGTATTCCATATATTTGAGTAGTTAAAATGCACCTTTATCAAAGGTGCTCTGTAAATATATTTTAGGTAAAACATTAAAAAAACTTTATACACAATTATAACAAATTATTTCAAAGTGAAACTTTACATGTTCCTTTGTCTTAATAAGATGCAACAAATAGGCATAGACACTATTATATTAAAATTAGCATTATTATATGAATAAACAATGTGAACAATCCTTTCTCAACAAATATATTGGATATATGAAATCCCTACATTTCATAATCTGAAGTAAAGCAGACTCAAAGGTTTTTTCCCAGTCATTAGATTGTCTTTTCACTGTTGGAAAATGTTTTGATGTGCACAGGGCTTTAATCTTTAGAAGGTCCCATTTATCAATTTTATCCTCTCCAGATTGTGCATTTCTGCCTGAATTTGGAAGTCTCTTTATACCATAGATGAGGCCATATAAGCCTGATTGCAGTTTGTTTGTGAAGAACTTTATGGTTTGGGGCTTTACTCCCAGTACTCTCTGATCCACCTCAACTTGATTTTTTTGTGTTACAATGAGAGATATTTCTGTAGGTAGCAGTCCAGTTTTGCCAGCACCATTTGTTGAAGAGATTGTCATTTCTCCATTTCATAGGTTTTGTTTCCTTTTTAAATATCAGTTGACCATAGATAGCTGGATTTGTTTCTGGGTTCTCAATTCTCTTCCATTGGTCTATGTGCCTATTATTGTACCAATGCCATGCTGTTCTGGTCTCTACCACCATGTAGTAATTTTTAAGGTCAGGGACTGCTATACCTCTCACTTCAGTTTTGTTTTTTGTAAGTGTTTTGCGTATTTGGAGTCTCTTTTCTCTCCAAATAAATTTAAAAATTCCCTTTTGATCTCCTTGAAAATGAATTTTGAATCTGTATTGGAATTGCTTTGAACATGTAGATTGCTTTTGGTAAGTTGTCATTTTTACAATATTGAGTCTTTCTATTCATGAACAGGGTACATTTTCCCATTTGTTTAGGCTTTTTTATTGTCTTACAAGAATGTTCTGTAGTTTTCTTTGTATAGGTCTTTTATATGTTTAGTTAGGTTGAATCTGGCTGAAAATATAGAGGACCTGAGGAATATCTATCTGTGTTTCATTGATTATGCAAAGGCATTTGACTTTGTAGATCACAACAAACTGTGGCTAACTCTGAGAAGAATGAGAGTCCCAGAGCACTTGACCGTACTTATGCAAAACCTATACTTGGACTAAGAGGCCATTGTCAGAACAGAGACAGGAAATACTTCATGATTAAAAACTGAGAAGGGTGTGCTACAGGGATGTGTCCTATCCCCATATCTTTTCTATCTATATGCAGAGCAGGTTATCTGGGAGACTGGGCTATATGAGGAAAAATGTGGCATCGGAATTGGGGAACGACTCATCAACAGTCTGTGTTATGCAGATCATACAACCCTGCTTACTGAAACTGAGGAGGACCTGAAGTGCTTGCTGTAGAAGGTCAGGACTGCAACCTAAAATATGAACTGAAACTCAACAGCAAGAAAACAAAAATTCTCACCACTGGGCCAAATGGCAGCATCATGACTGATGATGAAGGGATTGAGATTGTTAACAGCTTCGGTTTGTTTGGCTCCATAATCAACACTCTTGGCACCAGCAGTCAGGAAATTAAAAGATGAATTGCATCATTAGGAAAGTGAATGTCAGTCTGGAGACTAAGGTGTGCCTGATTGAGGTTGTGGTCTTTACAATTACTTGCTATGCATCAGAAAGATGAACAATGAGTAGGGATGATAGAAGGAGAATTGATGCCTTTGAGCTGTGGTGCTGGAGAAGAGTATTGAATATACCATGGATGGCTAGGAGGACAAACAGGTTCATCCTAGAGAGGATGAAACCATGTTGTTCCTTAGAGATGAAGATTCTGAAGCTTTGACATGTTATAATACTTTGGACGTGTTGCAAGGCAGGACAAGTCCTTGGTGAAGGACATCATGCTTGGGAGGGTGGAGAGAAAGTGCAGGAGAGGAAGATCGATGAGATGGATTGATTCAGTGACTGGGGAAATGGAGGTAGGTGTGTCAGAGACAGTAAGATGGGCACAGGGCAGAGCAGGGTATTGGACTTTTGTACACAGTATTGCTAGGAGTTACAAGTGACTTGATGGCATATAACAACAGCAACAACAGTTAGGTTCAGTCCCAAGTATCTCAGTTTGTAGTTAGCTATTTTAAATGGTATTGTTTTCTTGGTTTCCTTCTCTGAGTTCTCTTTGTTTCAGGCAAGGTTCTCCTGTCAAAAGTTTACAGAATCCTACAGGGTCACCACAAGAAAAAGACAACAAAATTACACAATGAGCAAAAGACATAGGAAGAATTTTCACAGAGGAAGATATTCAAATGGTAAACAGACACATGAAGAAATGCTCAAAACCATTGACAATAAGAGAGATGCAAATCAAAACCTCAGTAAGATACCATCTCACTCTAGTAGCAGTGACAAAGTTTAACAGAACAGCAAGTAATAAATAATGGAGAGGATGTGGAGAGATAGGAACAGATGTGGAGAGATAGGAACGTCTTTTTTTTAAAAATAGGAACTTTTATGCACTATTGGTGGCATTGTAAAATGGTACAACCACTCTGAAATGATGTTTGGCATTTCTTCAAAAAGCTGAACAGAGAAATTCCATATGCCCCAATATTCCACTGCCTGGAATATTCAATTAGAACTGAGACACAAATGGAGACTTGTACACCAATGTTCATAGCAGTGTTATTCACCATTACAGGAATATGGAAATAATTCAATATCCAACCACAACTGAATGATTGAAAAATTATGGTACAGTCACACAATAAAATACTACATAGTACACAGGAGCAATGATTTTGTAAATTGCAACCTAACTTGAGAGGGACTGGAGAATATTATGCCAAGTGAATTAACTCAGTCCCATTAGGACAAATATTGTACCAGACCATTGTCAGAGAATGAGTATGAGGATCTGAAGGGGGGAGGGAAGGAGCAGAGAGCTGAGAATGGGTGGGGGGGGAAGGGCAGGAATTAATCATACGGTTGCACAATTTGATGGATGGAGGGGGAGTGAAGGAAATGGGAAAGATCGAATGTGAAAAACAATGCATACAAACTTTGTAAATAAACCAGTATAAAATTTGAAAAATTAAAAAGGGGAAAATAATACAGATTCACAAGAATTTAAAGTAATATGACCTTTTTGCATTTTAGTTTGAAAAATATAACTAACAATATTCATAAATATGGAAATTATACTCATATAGTATAAAGAATATCTTATCTGACACATATTAAGTGTATGCCACAGGATAATTTCATATTTTAGGGTTCAGTTTCTTAGTCTGTAAGGCAACACATTCAAATTAGGTGAGTATTAGGGGTCATTTAAAGTTAAAATTTACATTGCTTAAAAATATATTTAACCCTGATAAGGTCTAAAGTCCTTATGTGGATGATAAAGAGTTATTATAAATATTTTCTCATGATGAACCATAATTTTATGCTTATAAAATGGAGAGGAAAATGTTTTCTAGATATCTGTTTATACTTTGTGAAGACTGCTGTTGTGGTAATTTGTATATATTTGGAAGACAGAAACTAGTCATTGAAAATGATAATTGAGGCAGCTGTTTTTATTTTATATAATAAAACGTTGCCCTTGATTTAAATTAAATTGAGAAGTCTTATTGATAAATAGGATTGTCTTCACTAATAAGAGAAATAGAAATTCCTTTCAGGAAGCATATCTCCATCATCAACAAAAGCATTTATTATCTCTTGCTTCATGAGACTAATGTTTCAAAGGCTTAATGTGAAGTTTTAGACAGTGTGGAATCATAAGAAGTTTATAATGATAATCCAGTACGAATATGAAAAGCAAAATGCCAACAGTTAAAATAAATTTCACTTATTATACATATAACCTACATTCTTCACAATACAATCTAGTGCTTAATTATGTTTTATTTCTTTTAAGTCAGTATAACTTATGCATTTGAGTTCCAACAGGATTCCTTGCAGAGTACCATGTTAATCTACCTATAATTTATCACCATTAACTCTCTTCTGAAATAACAAATTCCATTCTCAAGTGCAGGAAATTCTCATTAAGAAAATTTCTTGTCATTAAGTTTCCTGACTATCAAGTCACTTTAAATCTCTATTGCTGTTACCACACAAATGTCTATATTGCCAGGTATTTTGTTGAAAATTTGATCTCTTTTGCAAATAGGATGGTGTCACAGATATAATCTACTTTCTATATTCTTTTAATCAGTATTTATTATGAGTGCGGAATGAGAGTCATTAAATTATCAAAAAGGAAAGAAGTCTAGCATACTATGTGTAAAAGAAAATTGCATGTCTCCTGTTTTATTCATTGACCTTACATGAGAAAGAAAATAGAATAAAATCTGAGGGTCACAGCCACACAGGCTA